AAAAGTGAGGCTTTGAGGGGAAAAAAGTCCCTAGCTCAAGGTCACAGAGATAATAAATGAAAAAGCTGGGTTTGAGCCCAGGACTTCGTAACTACGAAGTCCCCCTGGAGCTAAGCAGGACATGCCTCTTCTCTTGCACCATGACAACTCTTCCGAGGTCAGAAAGTAGAGACCAAAGCCTCTTCTCCAGGTTAAACAGCTCCTTCAACTCTGTCCAGGAAAACCTGCGTGGCAGCCTCCTCCTGACCTGCCCAGTGAGAGACCCCGAACCCAACACACGGGCTTCCATGGGGGTTCGGGCCAGTTCAGAGTAGGGCAGAACTGTCACATCTTTCCTTGACACTAACCTTCACTGTTGTGGCCCAATGGCTGGTAAGAGAGCTGAGACCTGTCCTTCTCTTGGGCTTCTAGCCCGTCTTGGATCAGAGCTCTGAGAGAAGGGTCCAGGGCTTTGTTCCCATTTCCACCATTCCCCTAGATCCCAAAGGCCTGAGTTAGAAGAGGGAAGGGCAGAGGCGAGGAGAGAGGCGGTCTGAACCAGGCAGGGGCAGGGCAGGCTGGGAGGATGGAGAGCTGTGGGCAATCAGGTGGTTGTCCAGCAACTCCAGGCAGGGCCAGGAGGGCCACAGGGAGGGGGTGGAAAGTATTTTGGGGTGTGTGCACAGGGAGATTAGAGAGGGGTGGAGAGTGCCTGGGGGTGGGGGTGTGTTGGGAGAGGCCAGGGTGGGGACGGGCATGGCCTAAGTTAACAGTGTCCTGCGGTGCGAGAGGAAGTCAGTCGCACATTAAGCAAATGTTGCAACTGGTACTAAATTGGGAGGTGTCGCAGGCGGCAGTGAGGACAGGTATGCTTTGTGGGGCCCTGTGTGGCCCAAAACAGGGGCAGACATTGCAAAGGGAGAGAATAGGATTTCTGGGGCTGCCCAGGAAGGACCTGACTGAGATGCTCAGGACAGGGTCCCAAGGATGGGGGTCACCTGGCCCTGAAGCAGGTTCAGGCTTGGTTTCCAGAAGTAAAGGAAGCCCCCTCATCCTGGCCTTGGGCTGTGGGCTCTCCACCCAGGAGAAGCGTTGAGGATGGTTACCACCTCCAAGAAATGGGGTTGGAACTGAACAGGCAGCTTCTGAGTCCGGGGGCAGCGAAGGCCTGGAATGCAAGTGGGGTGATGGGGCGAAGAGAGGGGGGCTGCCGGAAAGAGGAGAGCAGGGACGTCTTTTCCCTTCGTGCCCACAGCACAGCTGGAATCGAGCACCCTTTAGGTCTAGGCCTCAGCTGAGGGAGAGAGCATCGGAGAGGGGTGGGAAAGACAGGAGGAAAGCTATGGAGCTGGCACTGCCTGTCTCCTGGCACAGCAGGCAGCAAGAGAGCAGGCGGAGTTCGCCTGAGAGGGAGAGAGAGAGAGAGAGAGAGAGAGAGAGAGAGAGAGAGAGAGAGAGAGAGCAACAGCGACAAGGAGACAAAGGCGGGGGGGGGGCGGGGGGGGAGGTGGGCCTGGCCACGGGGAACTTGATGGGAGGCCCTGGAAAAAAAACATGGACTTAGTACGAGAACATGTGGGTTGGAGGCCTGGCACTAGTTGAGTGATCTTAGGGCAAACTGCTCCATCTGATTGCACCTCAGTTTCTTCATCTGTAAAAATGGGGATAATGATGCCGGTATGACCAGTCTCCTCAGGCAGTTGTGATCTCATAAAATATGGGAGAGAGGTTCAAACCCTAGCCATGACATCAATGTCAGGTGTTATATTATTATTTCAAAATACTGGCAGCTACCGCTTTCATTTGAATCCCTCACACAAAAGACTCAGGATGTGAGTGGAGCAAAGATTATTATCTCTGTTTTACAATCAAGCAAATGAAAGCTTAGAGAAGTGAAGTGACATGGCCAAGGTCACGCTATTAACAAGTGGTAGAGGCTGATAAGGCCTAAATCCTGGAGATCAGTGGTCTTTCTCCTACACCAAGTTGCTTGGTAAAAGTCATCAACACAAGTGATTTATTTAGTGCAGGATCAGACACAGCTTGAAGCCAACTCTAACATGGGGAAAACCCCATAGGAAAGTTGTGGCATGGTTTCCCATTTATTCTGGTGATTATTTTTTTAAAGATTTTATTTATTCATTTTTAGAGACAGAGTAAGGAGGGAGAAAGAGAGGGATAGAAACATCAGTCTGTTGCCTCCCACGGGTCCCCAACTGGGGACCCAGCCTGCAACCCAGGCATGTTCCCTGACATGGAATTGAACCTGCGACCCTTCAGCTCGCAATCCAGCACCCAATCCCCTGAGCCACACAAGCCAGGGCTCATTCTGGTGATTATTGAAGAAAAGGAAAGTTGGGGCCGCGGGGTTGAACTGAGGGCCATAAAGGACCCACATTCTTTATTCCTTATACTAGTGGACCATGTTCGTATGTTCCCACTGAGTATGTGTATCTGTGTCTGACACCAAGGCTGTGTGTCTCTATCTCTATATGACAAAATGTGTCCTTCTTCATGTGACAGGACCTCTGCCTTTGTGTCTCTGACATCGTGAGAAGATGTACATGTGTGACAGGGCGTCTGCTTCTATGGCACTGCTTGGCATGAAAACCTCTCTGTGTATCTATGTGACTTTGCCCGGGGTAGTGGTGGTGGTGTATGGCAGTGTGTCTGTGTGTGTATCTGTCTGTACACCTTTAAGAAATGGAATATCTCATTTGGTAGTGTGAGTGAGGCAGTGAGTCAGCTGAGGCTGAGGGAGGCGGGAGGGAGACAGCTAGGTTACGAGAACAGGAAAAAGGAGAAGGAGAAAGTGAAGTCAGGAGCAAGGAGCTGCCCCTTTCCTCCCTAATCCCCTGCCTAAATCCCTAAGGAGCCCACCAAGAACAAGGAATCCTGCAGAAGTCCTCAGGAGCCACATCGGACAGAAAGGGGCACTTTATGCCCCTACCTAAAGCCTTGGTGGCAGACAAGCTAGACTAGGGGGCAATCATCTCCCTCTTCAGCTCTCAGTCCCCCGACTTGAAGATGGGTGAGGCCACTACCCCACCCTGTCTCCTTGTCACTTGACCCTTTGACCTTGCTGTTCTATTTCCTCCCAAAGCCAGGCCACCTGGCCAGGCTGAGCCAACAGGGCAGTAGCACCGTGTCCCAAATGTTTATAGCCCCCACACACCTACCGTCCAGAGTGACCCTGCTGAGGGTCAAGAAGTTTCTCAACTCATCCCTGCCCTAGGCAGGCCCATTCTGCAGCGGCCTTGCCTCTTCTCTGGATCCCTGTTCCCAGCAACCAGAAAGCCAGCTGTCCTCCCACTGCCACCCCAGGGCACTGGGAGGGCACTGGGAGTTTGGTAATGCACCAACCTTCAGTGGCCCTCCCACAAGTCGCTGTGGTCTGTTCCCAGCTTCTTCTTTTGTCACAGGGAGGAGCTGGCAAGGAGCTTCTCCTTGAGAGAAGACAGGCAGGCACCCCTGGGCTCCACCTGCCTAGGCTCTGACCGGCCACCTCAGGTCATATAAGGTCAACACTGTGGTGTGTCCCACCAGCAAGGCGCCCCTCCTCCAGCCCATTCATTCGCAGGGGCCAAAGGGTGAGGGCTAGGTTGCCAATATTCTCCCTTGCCCCTTTGGCCTTCCCCCTGCACCAACCAGTCCCAAGACTTTGAATTCCAGCCCAGGAAAGGAAGAGGGCACCGCTGGCTGAAGATGGAGGCTGGGAGAGACAGATCCCTCTTTCCACCCCTTTGCTAGCCCGGGGCCCCGTGACCCCTCCCTGCTCAGGCGGGGCGGGGCGCCAGGAGGCCCCAGTCAGACCTGCCCAACCCCGGAATTAATAGAAGTTGGCCAGGCGGTGACCTGACCTGAATCCCTGAGGCCCCTTCTCTGGGGCGGGTCCCAAAGTAGCACGCGTAGTGCAGCACTGAGAACAGTGCGGGTGATAGGAGGAGGTGTGGTAGCCAGAGAGGGACACCTCCCCCCGCCCCGGTCCCATAGCCACCGCTCCCGCCGCGTGGCCGCGGACGCCAGAACCTACCTTACAGCCTTTCGTACAGGACCGGATTGAGTACTCTTCCGCCTGTAAGTATTTATGCAGCACGAGGTCGAACTCGTCATATTTTTCCTGAGCATGTCGGTCGAGCCGCTGGTACGCCTCGATACAGTTGCTACACACCTCCCAGGCCCCGGAGCCCGGGCTGGCCACCACGGCCAGCAGGTCCCCCAGCAGGGTGTCCAGGCTGCAGTCCAGGCTGTCGGGGCGGTCCATGCCCAGCAGCAAGTCCCAGACCGTGTAGGTGTCGCAAAAGGAGAGAGTGAAGTTCCGAAAGTGGCCTTTGAGCAAGTTTTTTTTGGCGGAGGAGAACTCGGCCGGGGCACGGGAAGGAGAGTCAGGGGGCCGCAGAGGGGGGGCTGGGGTAGTCGGTTCGAAAAGTCTCTGCAAAGATTGCAGTTTGGTGCAAGCTGCGTCCAGCCCCGTGGGCTCTGGGACGCCGCCGCAGTCCGGCCCGGGACCGGCGGCGGGGGCGGCTTTGGTCAGGTTGCTGTATCGGGGACCGCAGGTGCCCGGGGGCGCGCTAGGCTCGCCGGGCGGCGGCGGCGGCAGTGGCAGCACCGCACGAGGAGGCGCCGGCTGCCGCTCACGGTCGGTCCCCCAGGGCGGCCGCATGGCGCTGCTCAGCTCCCTGGCCCGGGGCCGGGCCCCCGCGCACAGCCACAGATGGTCAGCGAGCAGCACGGTGAAGAAGAGCAGGGACGCCAGGGACAGTCGCCATCGCTGCGCCCGCTCGGAGTCGGCGCAAGGTTTGTCGCTCGGCCTGGGAGCCCAGCAGCAGCAGCAGCAGCAGATAGTCAGCGCGGCGGCGTCTTTCCCGGGCCACATCCAAGCGCCCCTGAACATATTTCAGGGGGGACCGGGCTGGAGGGAGCAGGCAGGCGCGAGGCCGGACGGCCGTCTCGGGAGGGCGAGCGGGCTGCGCGCCGCTCCGCGCTCCTCGGCGCCGTCCAGGCTCTACCTCGGGGGCTGCATGGTGAGGCAGGCCGGACGGCCCGGGGCCCCACTCAGGCCGGAGTCGTGGGGCGCTCTCGTGCCGTCCTCGCGCCCCTCCCGCGCTCCCTCGCTTGCAGTCCGGGCGCGGCCGCCCGGCCCGCTAGGCGCTGCCCGGCGTCCCGGCGGGGGGCGGTGCGGGGCACTGGGGCGGTGGCGGCTGCGGCGGCAGCGCCGCGCTCCTCATAGTGTCGGGCCCCTCAGCTGCCCTCGGCTCCGCGACACTCCACTCGGCGCCGGCGGCCGCCCTCGTCGCACTCCGTTCCGGCCGTCTCGGCTCGGCGCAGCTCTGCGCCCCTCAGCGCCGCCGTGCGGGCCCGGCCGCCGCGCTCCGCTCCGCTCGCTCGCCCCGCGCCGCTCCCGCCCGTCCGCCCGCTGCCCGCTCCGCGCCGGTCCCTGCCTCACTCGCGCCCTCCTAGGCCCGCCGGCCGGCCCGCTGCCCGGCCCTTCGGGCTTCACTCGCGCTCTGGCTATTCGCCGGGGCCGGTCCCGGGCCAGCTCCGCTCCGGCTCCTAGCCTGCTGCTCCCGGAGTTCCGGCTCGGGCGGGCCACCTGGCTCCCGGCGGCGCCACAGGCGCCGGACGCGGACGCCGGGCTTTACTTAGTGCGCTTCTCGCTTCCGCCTCCCGTCCGCACCGCTGTGGCGGCCGCCAAGCGGCACGGCCCCGTGGTTCCCGCTGGCCATGCCCCCTCAGTCTGTCGCCATCTTCCGCTGTGCGGAGAACACCTTGAGAGCCCGTGTGCGAGTGTGTTTGGGGGGGAGCGGGGCGGAGAAAGAGGCACGAAGAGGAGGAGGGAGCGGGACTGGGGCCCCGACTGCGCCTGCGCCTCAGGACTCTTCCCCCCCCCCCCCCCCCCCGCGACACCAGCCCCCGCCGGCCGCAGCCTGTGCTGTTTGGGGATGTTTCCAGTCCACCCCCAACTCCATTCACTTCAGCGCCTCCGTTCGTCCGCCCGCTCCCCGCGTGCACACGCCACACGCTGAGTCCCAGGCCCTGGCGCTCCCCCTCCCCCGCCAACCCGGGAGCCCGCCTGCTTGCCCAGGGCGGCCGCTCACTCCCCACGAGGGCTAGGGGGCTTTCTGAGGGTGATTCTTGGAAGCAGAAGGCATCTCCATAGCGTCTCGCTGCCTTCCTGGGTCGCCTCCCCCGTCCCCGTGACTAGGCGACGCTGGAGCCGGCTGCGGATCGGACCAGTCCCCTGCCCCTAACTCCGCTGTCGCCCTCACCGTCCTGCCCGAGGCCAAGGCGGCCCCTGGTGCTGAAGGACAGCTCCCAGCTTAACAGCTGTGCAGGACACAGCTTGGAGAGCGTCCTGGAGGGGGCGAAACAAGTGGGCTAAGATGTTTAGTAGTGATGGGCTGTCGTTTCTGCCCTTACTAAGATTTCCAGCAGCCTCTCCCCCGTCCTAGCTTCCTGGCTCCCCCTATAGGGCTGCTGAGAATAGCCGAGTGAGAGTTAGGGAAGCTGCGCCGCCCGGATGGAACCATGTGCTTGGGGCCCTCACACAATCACATGGCACTAGGAACTCAGACGAACAAACGTCCTGCCACGCCACTAACCTTGTTTGGATTCCACCAAATTTCTCAGTGGCCCGGTTGTCTTCTTCCTTTTCTCACCCCTTCCCATTCCCTCTAACTCCCGCATTGTAATTTTTAATTAACCATTACCATAAGGATTTGTTAATACGAAGAATAATAACAATAAAGAAAATACTTTCCATTGAATGTATTCTAGGTGTTCAGTTACTGTTCTAGGCACTTTACAAGCATTACTTCATTTGGTCTTCACAACACTCTAATGAAGCAGGCACTACTGTTACCTTTATTTACATATGAGGAAGCTGAGGTTTAGAGTGGTTAAGATGCCTAAGATCACAAAGCTAGTAACCAATGAAGCCAAGATTTTAATTAATTTATTTATTTCAAACAGAGTAGAAGGAGGGGAGAGAAAGAGTGAGGGAATTAATTGAGGTGCCAATCGTGTCTCTCACACGCCCCCACCCCCCAACCACGGACCTGGCCCACAACCCAGTCCTGAAAGGGAATTGAACCACTGACTTTTCAGTTTCCAGGCCAGCGTTCAACCCACTGAGCTACAGCAGTCAGGGCTCTACACCCCTCTTAACACTCCAGTAAAGCCCGGGAAAATGAACACGTGAAAATCCCAGTCCTTCCTGCCTCATAGGAAATTATAGTGTATATGAGGAAACAGGGCAGATATGTTGACTAGCGGGAGGATCCATAGACTGGAGACTTGGGTTTCAGATTATGGTTCTACCACTGAACATGTCTTGTGCCCTTGAGAGAGTCCTTTCTCTGTCTGAGTCTTGCTTTTCCTCTGGGTAACATGAGGGGATGCCAAGGTCTAAATAAGATACATGGGAATCATTGGCACTATTAAGAAGTGGGCCAGGGTGGGCTGGGGTGGAAGCAGGGAAGAGTTTCTGGAAGAGGGAGAGTTTGAACTGGTTCCTAAAGAAGTAGCAGAATTTGGGTGGCTGGGTGGGAAGGGCAGTCCAGGTGAGAGGAGTGCAGGTGACACATTTCAGGGATGAGAAGGAGCCTTGCATGGTGGTACAGCCATGAGTGTGACAGTTTGGCTGTATCGGTGGTGAGAACTTATGGGAAAGGGAGTAGAGGGATATGAGACAAGAAACAAAAATATCAGGCATTTGGGAGGCCTGTTCATTCATTATGTCCCAAGCACTATGCGGGAGACTAGGTAGGAGACTCGGGTGGATCAGACATGGCCCTGCCTCAACATGCTCACAGGCGAATTGGGGAGCCCGACATTTTAAAGCAGGTATTGCACCCCAGTGGAATAAGAGGAATATGATTGGGAGGGTGGAGAGGGCTCCCTCCTAGGGAGAGGAGCACCGATCAACTCTGTCAGCTTCCCTCAGAGGTGATTTTGCACAGAGTCATTTGAGTTGGGGGTCATTTGTTCCTTTATTTATTCAGCAAACGTGTATCATGGATCTGTTACGTTACAGACGCTGTACTAGGCACCCAAGGTATAGAAATGAGTAAGATACATGTTTAGGGCTGAAGGATTTTAGTTGAAGTCTTAAGGGATGAATAAGAATTGGAGACAGGAGAGAAGGTGGTGTGCGAAGGATGTCCCAGACAGAGGGAATGTCATGTGTTAAGGCCCAGAAGCAAAGCCAAGAATGGCATGTTCAGAAACCCGCAAAGTAGTTCATTGTGACTAGGTGTGAAACGGGAGCACTTCCAAAAATGAGGCGGAGGATTTGGCAGGAACCAAATCATGAAAGGCCCTGGGTGCCATGCTAAGTAGTTTGGACTTTATCCCAAGGGTACTAAGAGCCACAGAAAAGGTTGAAAGATTTTCAGCAGATTTGTATTTTTAGAAGATTCACTTGGCTGCAGGATGGAGGCTGGATTGGAGTGGTGGTTGGGGGGAGACTTGAGGCAGGGAAACTGGTTGGTCCAGGTGAGAGGTGTTAAGGGTTGAACAAAGAATGCAGCATTCCGATAGGGAGAGGAAATGCACAAGGGAGGGAAATAACAGAGGTTAAATTGAAAGGACCTAGGACAAGCCTAAATAGAACGAATAAACTAGGGACAGGGCCTGAAGAAAGAGGATGAAACCAAAGGGTTTGAGTTAGGGGCCCTGGCATGATTGCTCTTGCCCACCTAGCAACTGTCTTCTCTCCAGAGCCATTCTTTGTTCAGTCCTTGGAGGTTTCAGTGTTCTGTTTAACAAAGAAGGCTAATCGCTTACAGATACCTAGTTCAGAGCTGATTGGCACGGCTACAGTGATTGACACTCCCGACTGCCAATGAAAGAGCAGCCTGCCAGGCCTAGGCTATCAGCACTGAGCACCTCCGAAGCTTTCTGTGAGAAGTCACTCAGGCAAGACCCCCTGGCTCTCCCCCAGAACACACGGGGCGAAAAGTGTCTCACAAAGGTCCATTTATCCCGGGAGCACAACATATCAATAACTTACCCACACAGTACCCACTGTGCACAAAAGAGAACAAGTAGCACACCAGTGTTCAGAAGAAGCTCTCGTTCTCTTGCTGTAGATGACACAAGAAATTGGGACGGGGAAGAGAAGGCATTGCCCTCTATTCAGGCCTCTGGAGCAAAATAACCTGGTGGGAAGGGGGTTGATGCTCTCCAGAACTGGTGCGTCCAGGCCAGCCTTCTTCCCAGCCCTTTCTCTCCACTTACTTTCAGGTCCGCAGAGGCCTAAACCAGAGGATAAAGGTGCGTTACTTCTGAGGGCATCCAGAGTGCCCAGAAGAGTGATAGGGTGCTCTCAATCCAGGGAGGGCGAAGAGCCTTTGGAGTAGAGGGATGAGGGGAAGGTTTTCCGTGGTGAAATTCTAACAATTAGGAAGAAGAAAAAGTGGGAGCCGTTTAAAGAGATCGATGTAGTTACACATTTGTTAACTTTCTGTTAAGCTCAGATATGAAAAGGTCACGGGCAAAAGATGGAAACAAGAAATTAAGGGTGAATCTAGGAACCTGTGAGAAGAGTGTTAGGATGCCTAACGCACAGCTTGAGCTGAAGCTCCTCGGGCTCTGCCTGGATCCTGCCTTCTGGTTCCCTCCTCCCTGCATAGTTGGAGGAATTTCCCCCCACCTGCAGACTACACCTGTCCTAAGGCAGGAAAGATTGAGATAACCCCACCCTACATACTGAAACTCTGCATCCAGTAGTTCTTTTCCTACTAGTCTGACCTCAAGTTTCCACTTAGCCTCTACCATATTGCTCAGTTCTGATCCCTGGCCATCTGTCTCACGTCCTGTGTCTGCGTCCCGCACTCAGAGACCCTGCCTGACCACCAGTCCCCCATCAAGGCTTAGGCCCAGCCATGGTCTTTTAATCTACCTTCTAGGGAGAGAGTCCTGACCCTGAGCCGCATCCGGTGCCTGAGGCCTGATGGCCTAGTGATGGATTCCTCTGATCTCAACTGCCCACTTGTATTTCTTTTTAAAAAATTCTAATAGCTATACAGTGCTCATTTGTCAAAATGAAAACTGAAAACAAGTATACAAAACAGCTGATTACTAACTGTGTATTGAAAGCAATAAGCGGTTCCATGGTAAAGTTTAGCAGCTCCAGCTTCTTCAGTGTTTACCCAAATACAAAAGAAAAAAGTAGAGGTTGTTGTTTTTGATGTCAAATCTGACCTGTGCAGGCTGAGGGAGTGAAAACGCATGTGCACAGGGGCTCTAAGATGATTGGCCACGTGTTCACGCCCCTAATGCTGAGACCCAGACAACCTGGAGCAAGAGAGTGTGCATGGGGATCATGCGGAGCTCCTGCTCTGGCCAGAGTGGTCCCATCAGAGCATCCGAGGGAAGGCTGCGGTCCCTCCAAGAGATCCCTGAGTGGTGGCCGCAGCCCATCCCCTGGGCAGTGGTGTAAGCAGAGGTACAAGCACAAATACTATGAGATGCAGATGACCCAGTGAGATAGCCAATCAGGGACTAAGTGACCATGCAGAATGAGTTGTGGCTGGTTCTGCCCACCACATGCTTCAGATGGGGGACAAACCACGGGTAGACTGGACTCAAGCCGTTACCGTAGAACCTACATTAGCCACATTTCTCCCTTCTGTGTTCATGTG